GCTGATGTTCTGTCCACTGAACCAAACTGGCTAGGGTTCCATTGATTTTTATAGAATGGAAGGCAGGGGAAGAGAGAGAGAAGGATCCATGTGAGAGAAACACATTGATCAGTTTCCTGCATACGCCGCAACTGGGGCCAGAGATCAAACCTGCTACCCTTTGGTGTCGAGGGGCAGGGAGGCGGGGGTGGGGGGCAATGCTATAACCATTTAGCAAACTGGCCAGAACCCACATGTAAATTTAAATGTAAATTTCATCAGCCCTGGCTGGGTAGCTCAGTTAGGAACATTGCACCAAGGTTACAGGTTCGATCCCCAGTCACAGCACATGCAAGAATCAATGAGCCCTAACTGGTTTGGCTCCGTGGATAGAACGTTGGCCCGTGCACTGAAGGGTCCCAGGTTCAATTCTGGTCAAGGGCATGTACCTTGGTTGCAGGCTCAATCCCCAGTAGGGGGTGTGCAGGAGGAGGCAGCTGCTTGATGTTTCTCTCTCATCCATGTTTCTATCTCTTCCTCTGTAAAAATCAATAAAAATTTTTTTAAAAAATCAGTGAGTGCATAGATAGGTGGAATAACAAATTGGTGTTTCTCTTTCTCAAAATAAATGTAAATTTCATCAAAGGCTCTAGCTAATAGGCTGATAATAGTCCACACATGATGGCGGAGGCCTGAACAGTGTCATTGCAATAGTAAGTGAAGTAGAACCTTCTTTTCTAATTGGGGCATTGTTTCTCATGATTTTTTTTTCATTTATTTATATGAAAAGTCTTACAAAGATAATGCAAATTAAACAACTTTTGGTTAAAGGAGCAATCAGTTACCTTTTTAAAAAAATACAAATTTTGGGGGGGAAAGTCATAGTAAGAAGAGCATTGCACAAGGAAGCAGCAGACCTCTCAATAAAACCCTCTTATCAGCTATGTGACCTTGGGAGAGTTTTCAGAGCCTTAGCATCTCTTGAAACAAGAGGAAATGATATTATCCCATAGGGGAAGTTGGGGGTGGAAGGGCAGTATATAATCTCTTGTAGGTCCCTTTCTGTAAGATCTTAAGAACTGCCTTACACAATGGAATCATCCCAGTCTAAACACTTATATAGAGGCTCAAAAATGATTTTAGGAGAAAATAGCTCTGCTTTCAGCACTTAGAAGAAACTCCCTCCCCTTGGGTACAACTCTGAGGAGTGACTCAAGTGACCTTTCCTTTGAATGAGGGAAAGCAGTGGTACCTGGCAAATAGGCTCCTTGTCCTGCATCGGTAAACCAGTGCCAGGCAGTAAGTGGTCAAAGTGGTGACTGGTTTGCCTGCCCTGCCCAAGTGCCTATGATTGCTTGATTGGTAGACATGGGTCAGAGGAGCCAACAAGGCAGCATGAACTGATAATTTGTAGGTAAGTCCAAGGTTGAATGAAATGGCATCTGACTGGTCCCATTTGGTTATGAGCCTGTCACTTTAATGGAAGTAAGACCATTGACCCCTGTGGAGCAATTTTTGCCTGTTCTTTGAGCTAAAGAAGAGGCTCTGCATCATCACCATTCATTCCCCATTTGAGTGAAAAATTCCAACAAGCAGAAAGTTCAAAATAAATGGTTCATCATAAGCAGCTCTGGAGAGCCCTGAGAATTGGAATTTTGACACGCTCCCTTTGACCATGACAGAAAGCTAAACTTGCCAGCTGAAGGGAAGCTCCTGGCTGAGCCCCAGCACCCTCTGTTGGAGCTTCTAGTCAGCCTGGCCAATAAGCATTTCCCATCCATTACCCCAGCTTCAACACAGCTGAGAGAACTTGGTCCAGAGTCAAATGCTCTGAAAATGTACACACAGATTGGGGCAGCCCTCTGTCTTCTGCCAAGACACCCGAGTGCCCTTCTTGGCAAAAGATCATCCCTGCCCGCGTGTCCTTCCAGTTGGCACAAATTGTTCCCTCCATCAACAGCTGCAAATCCAGGGACTTCCACTCTGTGCAGGAAGAACTGAGGTCCTGTTTCAGTTCTTCATTGCAGCGGCAGGAGCACTAGACTCTGCTCTCATGCATTCTCCTCTTTGCCTCTTCTTGGGGGATAATCAGGACTGACTGGTCCCCTACTGGGAGAGGTGACTCAGACTCCACAGGGAGGGGAGTGATTTCACTGCTCTGGCAGTCTCAGCTTAACCTTTACACTAGATCTCATCACCCCCAGAACCAAGTGATTCCGAGGATCAGAGACCTTATAAATGGGAATCCCATCTTCTCAATTAAACCACTCTGGTATTCAGCAAAGACCAATATGGTTACAGTTGATCATCGAGGAGCTAACTAAGGACCCCAGCCAGGTGGACAAACCTGTGTGACCTGGAGACTGTAACAGTGTTCTCTTTGACCTTGGAGGGATGGAGTTGCTCTTCTCTAAGGATCTAAAAGGATGGGCTGATTTTATGGCCAGCAGCTGTCCTTTTACCATCCTAATAACAGTCTTTTAATAGTCTGGGAGAGGGACATGAAGGGCCCAGGGCAGGAAGCTTCCTGTTTACCCTGAGGTCTAACAATGCTGCAGCTGGGTTGGGCGTCTACGATTTCAGAGAAAAGTAATTTCCTTCTGAGACCTAGCTAAAACAGAAGCCAGAGCTTCTTGTACCTAGAAATTGGTGCTTCTTTGTTCTTTAATGAAGGTGGGAGGAGAGGGAATGTTTGACATGTCTTCACCAGTCCCCAAAGGCGGGTGGGGTGGGGAGAAGAGACTTCTTTTCTTGAACAGACTCTCTCATCTTCATCTAAAAATGTAATGTGTGCAGGCTCAAGGGATTGGAAGTTGATCAATTCTTTCAGCAATTGTTTATTCCAATTTTAGGGGAATAACGATGACTTGCTATATCTCCCATTCTCATATTACTGTCTCATAGAGTTGCTAGCAGATACATAGAGACATTAATCAAGATAGAAACTGATCGCCCTAGCTGGTTGGCTCAGTGGATAGAGCATGGGGCCTGTGGACTGAAAGATTCCCGGTTTGTTTCAGCCAAGGACACTTGCCTGGATTGTGGGCTCCATCCCCAGTGGGGGGTGTGCAGGAGGCAGCCAATCAGTGATTCTCTCATCATTGATGTTTTTGTCTCTCTCTCCCTCTCCCTTCCTCTCTGAAGTCAATTATATGTAAACACAAAAATTATATGTGTGTTTTTTTTAAAAAAAGAAACCGATCGATTCTGGGGAATGAAGGGATACTTAAACGTCTCACTCTGTATCTCTATACTTGAACTTTTTATGATGAGGATGAATTAAAGCTTTGCTCCCATGCTTAGGAAGAGGTGAGGTACAGAGTAAGTACTTTGTAAATTCACGTAAGGAGGAGATCCCTTCCAGCTTGGAATACCTGAAAAGGCTTCCTAGAGAAATGGTCTTCAAGCTGGACTTTGAAAGTTAAGGGCAGAGAGTAAGCATATGTGGAATCTAATCAACAAAATAAATTGATGAATAGAAAAAAAAAAAAGGGATGCCCTGACTGGTTTGGCTCAGTGGATAGAGCGTTGGCCTGCGGACTGAAGGGTCCCAGGTTCGATTCCAGTCAAGGGCATGTACCTTGGTTGCAGGCACATCCCCAGTAGGGGGTGTGCAGGAGGCAGCTGATCGATGTTTCTCTCTCATCGATGTTTCTAACTCTCTATCCCTCTCCCTTCCTCTCTTTAAAAAATCAATAAAATATATATTTAAAAAAAGAAAAAGAAAAAAAGGGAGAGCAGAGAGTGAGTATAGGAAACAGGAAATGGAATAATACAGGAAGAGCTTACCAGTTTGAGAGGAACTGAGGTCTTGTCATTTTTTTTTTTATTGATTTTCTACAGAGAGGAAAGGAGAGAGATAGAGAGTTAGAAACATCGATGAGAGAGAAACATCGATCAGCCGCCTCCTGCACATCTCCCACTGGGGATGTGCCCGCAACCAAGGCACATGCCCTTGACCGGAATCAAACCTGGGACCCCCCAGTCCGCAGGCCGACGCTCTATCCACTGAGCCAAACCGGTCCCGGCAGGTCTTGTCATTTTTGAGATCTAGGCCTTTAAATCAGCCCCAAGCCCAGCTCTACTATGTACTAGTAGTGTAAACAGAAGCCAAATACTGAGTCTCTAACACTCAGTTTGTTCATCTGTAAAATGTGGGTAACACTTTAGCTCATAGATGTGAATGATATCTATCTCATAGGCTTGTTGTGGGAATTAAGTAAAAAGTGTTTAGAGCAGTAATAACAAGGGAATAGCTGCATTTGGATGTGTTAAGTTTACAATGTCATCAGCACATTCTTACTAGTATGCCAGGAAATGTGGAACTGGAGACAAGGAGAGGGGACAGGGAGCCATCCAACCAGACACGATCATTACAGCAGCCCTGAGATTGGATTTGATTGTCAAAAGGAAAAATGTAGGTGCCCAGCCAGTGTGGCTCAGTGGTTGAGCATCGATCTATGAATTAGGAGGTTGCAGTTCGATTCCCGGTCAGGGCACATGCCCAGGTTGTGGGCTCGATCCCCCGTGGTGGTGCGCGCAGGAGGCAGCCGATCAATGATTCTATCAATGATGTTTCTATCTCTCCCTCTCCCTCTATAAGACCTTGGACAAATGATTCAACTTCTCTAACCCTGTTTTCTCATTTCTAAAATAAAATCCATCCCAGTCTCCAGTATAAACGCTGCTTCCCAAATACATTTCTTAAATCTAACTTGAAATCCTCTAGTCTCAGCTCCTTTGCAGAAATAAAAAATATAT